ACCCTCTTCTCTGTTTTTCACAGCAGTAGGCTTTATCTGGTTTTCCAGTTTCATTTCCCTCATGGTGACTATGAGACCATTGTACTGTCTGTACCCTCTGTGTGCATATGATGTGCTGTGATGGGTTGTTGCGCTGTGATGCATTGGTGAGTTATGGACCGATAATTGTTTTCTTTTGAATTGGGTGTGCTTGTAGGTAGGGTTAGGGTGGAACGTTAATTACTGTAACTCCAGATTTTACGAGTGGGCCTATAGGCGCAGCACTCTAAGCTGTGCGCCCCACTGGTTCCCTTAACTAGCTGAAGAAAAATCTGTTTTGGCAGCCGATTGTCTGGTCTCTGTTCAACTTGTACACAACGTGATTCTTAGGTTCTGCTCAAATGAGGGATGAACCCACTAGTGATAGCCATAGAGGGTTGCACCTACAGAATCTGGAGTTAACATAATGTTCATGCTTCATTTTGAAAGGGCAACGGCCAATGAGGAAACTCTATGACTCACTCACTCAGTAATTAACAGACTTTAGTGTTCATAGTGGTGTCCGCCTCTCGGTGCATGGAGAGCTGTTTTCTCTCCTATTCCGCTCTCTGTTGGACTATTACAGGGCGTAACCCTCTTCTCTGTTTCTCACAGCAGTAGGCTTTATCTGGTTTTCCAGTTTCATTACCTCATGTACGTAGTTGATTTTTCATCAAAATGTATTGGAAAGAAGAAACAAGGACAGTGAAGTCTATTAAAAGGTGTATCTTTTGAAATATCACTAGAAGAAGAAGAATCATAGAATGTCCCATAGATAACAGAAATCCCTTTATATTACATACATGTAGGTATGCAGTAGGCCTATATGATTTTGTCAGTGTACAAGTAAACCAACCACAGCAGATGAGGACCTCATCTATGTAATGGAAGAATTGTTATAAAGGAAGTATTTGGAGTTTGTCTTCATTGCTCTCAGCTGGAATCCTGAGGTGGAGTATTCATGCTCTTTACAGCAAAGTATGATTCAACGGTTTGAAAGAAATCTTTATTCTCAGTAGGAGACCATAAGCAGGCAGATTCTACCCAGTACTTGAGGATAAAAAAGAGACATTTCCTTTCACTACATCCTTGTTCTTCAGTGAAGAAGCTCCTTTTTTCATTGGTTTTTAAGGATTACTGATTTAAACTGTTTAGGAACCTGTTTCACTTTCTGAAGGACAGATTTTCACTTAAAGCTAGCTTTTCAAGTGCAGGAAATTTTCTCGGAACGGTTCTAGTGATTCATAAAAAAAATTCCAAAAAGACTTTCCAACATCAAGTGAATTACATCATCATATTTCATCATCATCATTTTATCATCGTATCTTTGTGTTGTTGTATAGCCAGATAATCAAAATCTGAATAATCGAGTGTCAACAAAATGTAGTTCAGTCTCTTAATGCTGGGATGGCATTATTTTGTTTTGTTTTTACTAATGAAAAGTGAGTGACATATCCGTTGTGCCAGTTATTTTCAGTTGACCCGGATGGGGTAGTGGTTGCTCGGAGAGTAGGAATATGTCCGTTTTTATTTTTGTAAATTGCCTGACAAAAACTCGTACAGCTGCTGTTACCATGTTTCAAAGCAATTTTTCACCATTTTTTACAAAGCCCTGATTAGTCTACAAGGAAACCAGTCATCAATGAGCAAATAAAACCATGGGTGTGTGTAGTGATGATATGTATCAATCCACTGTGCGTATATTAACTGTTCTTGAGATTCATTGGAACTATAAGGGAGTTTAGTTACTTGGATAATCCGGTCAAAAATCTCTCGCATAGTTTAAAGAGTCAAAATTTGAACAGTTTTATGATTACAAGTCCATGATTGACTATTTTGCAGTACAGAAAATTTAAGAACAAATTCAAAGACACTCACAGACTTGAGGTTGAGCCATTTTGGCTAAATAGAAGTCTCTTCCATGTCTTCAAATTTAGACTTGCATGCACTTAAAGGATGTTGTCCAACCAGAATATGATCCATTTGGTGCAACAACATTTGGAAAGTCTAGTAGAGCCACACAATTAAATCATTATATCCCCCATTCAAGTTAGCGGAGGGCTAAACCAAGAAGTTAGCAGCTCGGCTGTGCTTCGCTGACGGAAGTCTCCAGTAAAATCTGCTCTGTGGGCCCCGTGATGTCGAAACTCTGGGTAATGCTATACCCAGAAACTGAACTTTTCTGGCTTCAGGCGTCACTGAACAGGTTTCATGGAATCAATGGAGCCACGCCTCCAACACTATATCCAGACCTCCCTTAATGCATCCATGATGCTGCGCTAACAGGCACAATGACAGCATGAATCGATTGTTTGAATGCCTAGAAGACTGACCTGGCAAAGACTACTACTAAAGTGGCCATGTGAGTTATGACTCTTCTTCATCAGGAGTTATAGAGGAAGTAGTGTGATCTTTTACTGCCACAAAAAAACTCATATGGAATAGATTGTTGGGTCAATGAAGTGTGTTATTTTAAAATCTGTTTCCTACCAACCAGAGCATGTGAGCGGAGCGGACCGGGTGAAAATTTCCACTCCTCGCTCACAGACCTGTCAATTTGTGCCAGTCGTCAGCTCCGCCTGGTTCTGCGCATTCTCCGCTCCGCTCCGCTCCGCTCCACTCCATCATAAATTTTATCCCGCTCCACCCGCTCACCACTCCGCTCAAAAAAAAAAACCTGCATCGTACAACCCTCAACTGCAATCTTCTATTCACAAATAAAACATGAGCTTGGCCGTTTTCTCAACTAAGACATAAGGGTAATGTTTCGTTTTAAAGCCGACAAAGTAGTAGACTGCCGTGTTTCCGAGAAATGTGTCCTTTTAGATTCCAAAACGACTCTTTACCGACTGCAACAATGTCGCCGCATTCTTTTTCTTGTTCCACATTATCCCCATCTGTTACTTTTACAGGAATGGTACACTTGTTCGACTTCTCAGTTTCTTTTCTGAAGTACACATTAAACTCCATAGTTTTGAAAGAATTGGAGTGAGAGATAAGGCTTTGCTCCACCTTTAAAAAAAATTGCCGCTCCTCGCTCAACACAAAATCCTTCCGCTCCCCGCTCATATGCTCTGCTACCAACAGTCAACATTGTTTTGTTTTTTTACCATAACCACCATATTTCTCCAACCTTAACGAGTAGTTTTTCTTCCTAAACTGAAGAAAACCTTAAACAAAGAGGTGGCAGAAATTTTTTGTTTTGTTTTTGGGACTTGTTTCCTCTCTGTTGAGTTTGTGGACAGTGGGTTCTGTACTGTAAGAAGAAAGAACTGGATTTTTGAGACTATTTGTATAAAAAAAAATGAAGTTTTTCTTTCTTTGACACTTTGGACATTTTTCTGTGCCGTGACGACTGTTGATGTTAAAGGAAGTTTAAATCTGACTGTTTCATGTTCTCTGGTGTAATCCACTGCTATTAAGGTGTTTTGTTTCACAGGGAGGAGAATGGATGTTTATTGATCAGGAAGTGAAGGAGTGCAGTGCAGGGGAAAGGAGGAGGGGATTGTGGGTAGAATAAGCCTGAGGATGTGTTCAGACATCACAAGGCTGTTCAGGGAATCAGAGAGCAGATAGAAAACAACTAGACACCCCTCTTTTGTCTCCTATTTTTCCTCTTCCGTGCTTTTTTTCTTTCACTTTTGCCAAGTAAAGACACATCCTAAAATCTTACTTCCTGAATGGCATTTGTATTGTGGAGAAAACACAGTTGAATATATTTATTGTGTTATTTTCTTGTTCATTCATTTGTTTGTTCTGTTGCTCTGATGCCTCAGATCTGTTTCCTTGTTCAATGGTTCAGTTAGTTGCATGTGAACTACTGATCTAGATTAATCTATCAATACCAGCTTTGTGTTATCAGATCAAACTATTCCTGTTACATGGAAGTCAATATTAAATAGCAATAATAACAAGTTTTTCTGTGAAGAGTCTTAACGGACAGTGACTGGATAGTGACCTGATGATCCAAGAATAAACAGTTCCAGTTTATGGGCAGGTGACTGCTCGATAGTAGCAGTTGGCCAGGTTGCCCAAAATTGAGGGTTTCTAAAAATGATGATTGTGAAGATAGTGACCAAAAGAAAAATGATTGATTACTCTCACCATTCAGTCTCCGAAATTAAAGATGACAGTGGTTACACTGCATGCCACATAACTGTACCATTACCGGTTTGATTCCACCCGCCGACTTTGGTTGCATCTCTTCCCCCATTTCCTCTGCCTTCTTAACTGTCAGTTTCTAATAAACGTTGAAAATGCAGACAAAAAATCATAGATGACGGTAACCATTCAATCATTGATTATGATGATCAATTACTATTCTAAGATAACCTCTATGAACAGATATCTGCATATGAATGCAGCATCTGTGGGAAAGGGACAACATTTTGGTATCATAAGTATTCTGCTTTCTGTTTGTAGTCTGAGAAGTATTGACCAATCACGCTTGAGCGGGTTTTGGTTGCATGTAAGGAATGCATTGGCATAAATGCCATGTCAGAACCCATCAGCTATCATCAAACAACAGTTAACTTTTTATTAGCTTTTTTTTAAATGTGTCTCCATTTATATCTTTCTTTATCTTTATATATCTGTTTATAGAGATTTTCCAAAATGTGTGTTTCTCATCATTCTCCCTTATGAAGTTGTTAATCGCCCTGATATTCGTTATCTGTTATCCAGTTATGCACTGGCTACACCGGAAGACCCAAAACATTGGCCATTTCCCCCAAACACTAAATTGTCCTCAGGTGATAGCCGATGGATTCCAAGTTTGATTCAGAGCTAACTGAGCTAAATTTTGACATGCAGCTTAATTACAATCCAAGTTTGTTTTGTTTTTGCTCCGAAGGTCCTTTGTTAAAGAACTTCCACAAAACCATAAGGATTTATGAGAACACCAAACATCAAAAACAGATTATGTTCAAGTCTAAACAGTCTATACAATGTTTTGAAACCAGAACTCTTTCTGTTCTGCCCAGGTGCAAGCCTTCCAAAGCCCCAGGTGAAGACCGCCTCTCTGGGTCAAGCTGGTAAGGCTCGCTCCCCTTTGCTGCCTGTCTCAGTCCCTACGGCGCCCGACTTACCGGAGGAGGGAGGAACAAAACCGGCCGAGGATTCAGCTGCCAACGTAAGTCTGCATGGAGAGAATGTTGTAGGAGGTGTTGCTGATTTAGTTTTACACCACAGGTACATTGCTGGGCCAAAGAGCACCTATGCCAAACATGGTCACTGTGGGATTCAAACAAAATATAACTTGCCAAAGAATGGGCTTAAAATGGAAGGAAAGGAAGCCTAATATTCCTTTTACATAACTGAATAAGTAATATAATTATTCAAACTTAATATTATATAACATTAATACAGTGATATTTATTCTTCTTGATGCATTTGTAGTAGTAGTAAATCAAAATGGTTAAGAGCATGTCAGTTTTTCTTTAGATTGTTTGCCTTTTGCTGAAGCTGTTGCCAGGGGAAACATCAAACATCTGTTAGAAGTAATTGGTTGTATAAGTCGACTTTGAGCTTGTCCTCTAGTAACAGTAGACCGTAAATGTAAAAACACTACACAGAAATCATCTCATAAACCCGGTGGAGCTTTCTCAGTATAATGCAGACTGTGTCCGAAACTTCACATGACCCCTAAAAATGGGGTTAGAGAAACTCTGCAGTGTCCAGGAGGCGTGAGAGCAGAGATGGATGCACAACTTCTTTGTGTTAAAGGTCCTGACTAGCATTTGGATTTAGACACAATAACTGTGGCCCCAGAGTGGGTAAATGATGTTACTGTCCTCTGCTGTACTGACAGTAGTTTACACCTAATGGAATTCATTAATATATATATATATATATATATATATTTTTATACACATATTTTCCCTCTTCAGTTTCTGCTGTTTTGCTTCCAGTAATTCACTTTATGGCAGCACATATTGTTAACTATGTGATATTAATTGATTATACCTACAAATAACAGATGACACAGTATTGCTTTCTACAGCAGCCAGAATTCTACCAAATTAACCTTTAATCTACAAACCATTATTTTCCATATGGAGAGTGTGTGGAAGATTAAACCTGATCATTTTGCACACTAATTAAACCACTAAACAAGGTAATAGCAGTAGCAGTAATAACTATAGTCAAATAATTCACATTTGCAGTTGGAATAGTAGTAGTAGTAGTATACTGCCCTACAACGGCAGAGAGCGGTCTTTTCCTACTACTTTACAACAACAGAAAACATGTGTTCTTTCAGCTTTCCATCTAGTATTTTTATTAATACTAATAATAATTATCTTGATATTAATATAATAAATTAATCTATACCTTTGTTTTTTTTATTCATTTTAAAGTAGCTTGACCGCTCCAAATAGTGTCAAAAATGATTTGATGATTTGTTCCTGCTCCTCTACGAAGCTAACGTTAAGCTAGTAACCTTTTAGTGGTACTAATTTAGCGGATTTTTCCTTCTGCCTTATTTATGTGGAATAACAAACTAAATGACCAACATGTATATATTTATCAATTTATTTAACCGTTAAGGGGGCTCGTCAAGGCTAGGTGTGGCTATCTGTAGCTAGCTTAGCTGTCTCTCTTGCTTTAGCTAGCTATGTAACTGACAGTTTGGTTTTATTTGAACTGCATATCGGCATGCTGTTTTCTGTGGAGTTCTACATTTATAAATGTCTTGACTAAATTTGGACTAAATATGTAGTTAGTGCACTTGGCTCCGTCGGGGGGTATAGCGCAGGGCTAGCAGCGGAGTTGATAGTTGGCGTCTTGGCTCTGACCTCGTCACTCCCCACGAGGAAACAGCTCAGCAGGAAGTAGAGGGTTGGCGATGAGAATGGGGACTCGGAGCCCACAGGGTGATGCTGCTGGAGGTGGGGCCTTTGACATGCTGTATGAGCAGCAGCAGCAGCAGCAAGTGACAGCACAGCTTTGAGGTGAGCACTGTGGCAGCAGAAATATGCCATATGAAATGGGTGTGTTGGATATATGGTGCAGTGAGAAGAGGATTTTTCCGACTGTGTCATTTGTGGCAGCGGCTGTAGACGATGCAGCTATCATCAGCATTGACGTTGCGGCTGAAGTGATTCTGAAAAGCAGGGCAATTTAGTAAATTCTCTTAAATCCCTAACATAAAGAGAGTCTTTGTGCCTCGCTGTTAGAGGTTGTTTGTCAGAGTTCTTTAAAAGCAGACATTTTGGAGACATATTATTTTTAGACCGCAATCATATTTATCCCCTTTAAAATGTCAAATGTTAATCTCCAAAGTAACCAATAACTGCAGCCATCAGATGTCGTAAATTCTCTAATGAAAGCCGATACTTTTAAGTATGAACAAATAAAGTTCGCCCCCCCATGAAAACATTGAGGGGATGGAAATACCCGTTTAGTAATTAGTTAAGTAAATGTCTCTAGTGTAAACCTGTTTCAAATGAAGGCTTTGTTCTCTCTGCAGTGTGAACATTTAAATGCAAGAGAGGTAGCAGAATCTCCCGACCTGTGGTCTGCAGCCCCCAAAAGGGTCTCAGAATGAATCATAGGGGTCACCAGATGATTGAAGGGATAGGAAGGAACCAAAAACCTGCTCACTTTCGTCAAATACTGTTATCTAAAAAAAAAAACGGTTTGATTTTGGTTTCATGGGCTACTGTCCAGAAGTTACTAGATGGATACCTACAGCATCTTATTTTGAAGCGGAGGGCCACTGACCAAGCTGCAGTATTTGTCGACTTGGGAGGGAGACCAAAACATAATGATATTCCTTTTCTCTAAATCTCCTCTGATTATTTATCTTTTTCTTGTGGAAAAGTGGATTGTTTTACTCTTTAGGACATTTAATCGAGAACTGTGATCAAGATATGTGAATAGAAATAGAACTTGTCAGTGCTCTCTCAGAGGAGGGGCTGGAGGAATAAGAGAGAGGAGCGAGAGAGAGGAGGAAGAGAGAAGAGGAGAGAGGAGGTGAAAAGGACAGTGGACGAGGGGGAGAAGAGGGAAAGGTTGCAGGAAAAGGAGAGGAGGAGGCAGTGGAAGAGGAAAGGAGGGGGGATGAGAGGATGGCTATAGAAGCAAGGAAGGGGGATATACATGAGGGTGAAGAACGACAACCAGAACGGTCAACAGGACGGTAAAGGAGAAGAAGAGGAAAGGCAAGAAAGGAAAAGCAGTAGGAGAAAGGAGAAGGAGGCAGAAAAGGAGAGGGAGGATAACAAGGGAGGGATAGGGGAAGAACAGAAAGGAGGACAATAAGAAGGGAGATAAGTGGACAGACAAAGATAAGAAAACACAGGATGAGCTGGGGGTGAGGATAAAAACATAGGAAAGGGTGAGGATGGAGCTGTACAGAGTGTAAAAGGAGGAGGAAAAGGGAAGGGAGAGGAGGTGATATGAGGGTGGAGAATTGTTACATGAGGGGATGAAGAGGGGGGAGAAATAGATGCAGAGGCTGATTGAGAAGCAAAGGAGGGAGGGGGAGGAGGCAGAGAATGACAAGCAGGGAGATAAACGACAGAAGATGATGTGGAGGGACGCTGGACAGAGGGACTTAAATATTCATATGTGACTCAATGACAATTGGACAGGAGAAGGTGTCGCCACAGCAACGAGAAGGGAGGAAAGGACAGAGGAGGAAAGGAAGGGAGACAAAACAAGGAGAGCAGAGGTGTAAGGAAGGAAAGGGTCAGGAGGGACAGGAGGTGTCGCCGTAGTAACGGGAAGAAAGGCAGGAGGAAAGGATGGAGGGAAAGAGATGAGACAAAAACAGAAGGGGAGAGGACGATGAAGGGAGGTGGGCAGGAGGAGAAGGTAGCCATGACAACGGGAGGAAAGGGATGCTTCAGGAGGGACAGATGAGGAGCAGGAGGAAGAGGAGGTAAGGGGAGGAGAGAGAACAGAAAAGTAGAGGGAAGGGCAGACGAGAGGAAATAAAGAGTGATGGAGAGAGATAGAGGAGATGAGAGGAGGTGAGACAAAAAAAATCAGGAGAGGAGCGATAAGGAGGAGTGGGGTAAATGAGGTGGAAGGATGGCAGAGAGAGAGAGAGAGAGAGAGAGAGGTGTGTTAAAGGTCAGCAGGTCTTTCTCTTCATCTGCTGGTCTATCTTTGTAATTGATCTAGTTTTTACCCATCAGCCCCCTGGCCTATCCATCTCTCTCTCACACACACACACACACACACACACACACACACACACACACACACAGCTGGTTAATGGACTGCGACATAGGGTGAGTGAATCATGTAAGTACAACACCATGGTGCTTTTATTATGTTGTTACACCAGTGACATATTTTAAAGTAGCACAGTAGAGAGGGGGATATAGATAAAACGTGAGACTTCGTCGTGGCATTCAAGTCCATTGGTTCCTAAATCTGTAAAAACCGTTCATAAATATATAGTTTAATTTTCTAGACAAGCTGGTCCCTGTAGTTTTTAGCTAAAGTTAGTCAAACAGGAGGAAGTGCAGTGTAGTGTTGGGGACTATTTGTCAGCGGTGGATTAGTTAACATTCATTGCTCTTGTGAGTATGTGGGACAGCAGGACGATGTGTGTGGGATTGAGACTGAAAATAAACTACAGCGTGCGTCTGTATGGTAATGAAGGAACATGTCAGTCAGTGCAACAGTGGGGCTCACTGATGTATTTTTAAATCCTAACTAACCCCCAAACCACCCTTTTTCAGCTGAAACTGGACTCCGACTGGCTACATAGCTGCAGCCTGTCACTCCCTCACAGACACCAGAGAGTTAGCCTGAGCTGCTAACTTAGCTAATGTTACAACACAGGTGCCACATAGAAACTTAGTGAATGTGCTTCTGCTGACTGTAAAAGGTCCTCTGTGCACATAGCATGGACGCGTAGAGTCTGACAGCAGCTGCTCATGGCTGGTTAGCCTGGTTATCTGCGACTACCGGCAGCTGTATTCCTGTTACACTGAGCGGCGTGGTCTGTGTTTCTTCCCCTGTCACACACTCTATAGCAACAAGGCCACGCCCCTTATGTGATCCTCCTGTGTCATCCTTTGCTGCATTTTTTACAGTTGCTGAGAGGGAGGGAGCTAGCAGAATGTAGGGGTTTTGGGACAGCGATGGAGCTGTGTGGTACAGAGGAGTAAGATA